GTGTTGGAGACGACTTCGCTGGTATCGGCACCATGCGAGAAGTCCCTGGTATTCATGATAGATCTATCGGTTGATGACGAAATGATCTCTTGACCGGTTTTTATTTTTTATAATCCGAACATTGTAGGAAATCCGTTGCTTTGACGTATGAGCAGTGCCGTAGTGTGCAAGGACTTCCCGGGGCATTGTGCATGCTGAAAAATATCAGACTTGGTAATTCGAACGCAAATGCACTCCTATAGTTGCATAGTACAAGGTGCTTGAATAAGCCTAGTAAATCATCAGATTAGCATCCTAGCGTTTTTGGTGGTAGGTATTTCCAGGTTAGTATTGCATATATGGAGATGTGGTAGCAACACGTGTTACGCACTCATTCGTGTTTGTCTCTTATATGCTGTAAATTTGAGAAAAGACGACAGTGTGAAACACATACAAAAATAGCAAAGACAGTCCTATTCGTAAACCCTCTACACTTCCCGAACTAGTAATTCAAATAGTGTACACAAATCTTGGACTATCATCCCCCAACTCCGCAATATCTTCACTCGTCATGCCCTCAATGGTATGATCCTCATCGCCCCTCGCCCTCTTCTTATTCACCATCGCAAAGTACCACCACATGAACGCATACACCAAGCTCGCGAAAGCGACCATCGCCATGGTGACGGCGTGGCCTCGGATATATCGTGGACCTTCTTTGCTTGGGTATAACTATATGTACTAATTAGCATATATCCCCCAAGTTGGAGCAGTGAGTGAGGTGAGTCTTACGAAAGAAGACATGATGCCAGCGCAGTTGCCAATAGTGAGCTGCAGTCCTATCGCCGTAGTCCTCTTACCATAGCGTGGGCTGTTGGTCGGTAGCCACGCGAGCGGGAGTCCGACATTGACGTAAAGTCCCATGGCTACGAGAAAGCATCCGGCGTAGTGAACAGCCGAATTCGTATCACTCATCAACATTGCATACCCCACAATACTGACAAGCCCAAACAGAACAGCATACAACCCACGCTTCTGCTGATGATCCGATAACCTTGCAACAATCAAGTATGTGATCGCTCCAAGTGCGTAACACGGAATTGTGTAGACCTGTATCAGTGCCGAAGAAGCGGTAGGTTGGATGCCCTTGATGATCGTTGGCAAGAAAGTTGAGTAGCCGTAGAGCATGGTATCGCAGCCGAATTGAGCGAAGCAAAAGGCCCACACTTTCCAATCTTTGACACACTTCATCACATCCTCCCAGTGAAACTCCGCGGCTTTGGCGGTGTAACCTGTTTGGCGTGTCAAGCGGGATGCAGCGAGCGTCTTTTCTTTCGGGGAGAGGAAGTATGCGTGAACGGGATTATCGGGCAGGGCCCAGATAGTAGCGACCCCGAGAACAAAAGTGGGAAGACCCTCGATAATCAAGATCCAGCGCCATCCACGCTGACCAGACACGCCGTCCATGTGCCCAATGGCAAAAGCAAGGAGCCCACCGCATGCACCCGCCAACGCCGCACTCACGAACAAATACCCAATTCTTAGCGCTAGTTCCCTCTTAGTATAGAAAAGGGTGAGATAGACAGCCAATCCAGGAAAGAGGCCACCTTCAACAGCCCCGAGAAGGATACGGCAAGCAACAAGACCGCCATAATTATGAACTACGCCAGTGAGAGCTGCGATAATGCCCCATGCTATGGTGATAAAGGCGATCCAGCGAGAAGGGCGTAGCTTCTTTAGAACCAGATTCGAAGGGACTTCGGAGAGAATGTATGTGACAAAGAGGATCGAGATGGCCACTTGCCACTGCTGGGCATTTAAGCCAAGATCGGCTTCCAGGCCGTAGAGACGAGCATTACCAATATTCACACTGCGGGAAGTTAGCAGATGATGGAGGAAGTGACGCGAGAGTATTGATGGCATTGTACTCACCGATCAAGGAAGCTTAGTAGATATAGCAGCATAACAACCGGCACGAGATGAAGATCAAGTTTCCTGACCAGTCTGCCCTCTGCCACAGGATCCACCTCTTCCAACTGACCTTCCGTTTCATCATCCACCGACTTCGTCGGGTCTCCAGCCCCAGACACACCAAAATCTTTATCCGAATCGCTCATGGTGTCGTATACTCGTTATGATCTAATCTCAGCCTAGCGTAAGATGCGGGGCAATCGAAGCACTTTTCAAAACAGTTCTCCGGATAGATTCGCACGTAGTGGTTTAATAGTTTCGTCGTTCAGCAAACACGCATCTTGTGACCAAAGCTCGGAACCACCATGTTGTGAGGCCCGTCATCATGTGTGCGGCGAACGCGCAGCTTTTAAGAGTTCGAGATGATAGCGCGGACCCACGCTGAACGGCGGCGATCTAAGCGGGGGCAGTTCCAGCACTGAGCAACCAATCATGTAGATCAACTAACCTCCTTCTGTGTAACTTGAATGGCTAAGCCGTTTTCGTGTTACAGATACGCTGTGATGATAACGCCCGCCGATGCCGAGAACGAATCAAGCGATGCCAATGTTGGGGGTACACGGGGTATCTGGGTTGTACATGAATCCAAGGATGGGGGCTGCTCCAAGAGATTGATCAAAAACGAAAAGGACGTCCCCCTCGAGCCACCCGTTGACTGCTCATAGGAGCCTTATTGTGCTTAGTGTATCCGAAAGGTTTCCGGGCGGTCTGATTCAAGTCATACTTGAAGCCGAAGATGATGAGTAGTTCACCAAACATGCCTCCCAATCAACCGGGAGGCTTAAGCCAGCATATACATCAATCTGCGCTGATGGGTCGATAGGCCAAATCACTTCATCCCGCCGTATCTCGGTAATCCCAGCCGCATCTTGTTGCTGTGTTACTGTGCTAGGGAGGCTCACAAGCGTCTTTCGAGCTATAAAACGTACTTCCTTCGCCATGGTCTGAGCAAGCGGCCAGATGGTACCCATGGCGTTCAAGAACCCAATACTGAGCCGAACACGATCGCGAGCTATCGATAGCCCGTGATCGTCGAGGAAGACATTGCAGGCTGAGATTTGTGGAGCTGCAAGCGCGGCGACGATGCACATGGCGAAAACGCTGTGTTTCTCAATGGCGCACGGAATGGCGAGGAGCTTGGTTTGTATGTCGATGGCTTTCAACGCTCGCGCAGTATGCGAGCTGCGTCCTGCTTTCATTGGTTCCAGGAAAGGAACGGGTGAAGCAAAGCTTTTTGTTGTCAATTCTTCGACACTGTATGCAAGTGAACTGAGAGGCCGGTGATTGGTGGTCATTATGATGGCAGTCATCTCATGCGCCAGAAACATGATCTCATCGACGTTTCCATCTGGTCGCAATGGGTCTCGCTTGGACACTGGGAGCAATGACTGCCAGGCAGCGACTTTTGCGTCGACTGAAGCAATCAAGCTATCAGTGAATGTGCCAGATTGAACGAATGAGCGCATTACTAAGGATGATTTAGCGGTGTGATTGGACTGATGTAAATACACTCACTGTATGCGACGATTTTGGAAACATCGAGCAGATATACTATAGACGAGTAGATGACTTCGATATCGGCGAACTCACGAGTATCGTATTCTTGCCACGTCATCGTCGGAGGGATTTGCTTGCAAAACCATCAGTCATGATCCCCTTGTGAAAGCGGTGCTGAGAGCTTACCCCTGAAATGTAGTACTCGTCATCACAAGGTAAATCCACAAAATTCGGAACATCTCGTAGCGGGAAGTTGGGAACGTTACTGACGACAGCTAAATGTTGATCTAGCAGACTTAGCAGCATATACGTCCTCCTCCAGGACTCCTCCAAGACCGCATTTCCCTCTCCGTAAACCATTGCAAACTCTTTCGTGTTCATCTGCAACTCCAGAGCCAATGCGACGGCTCTATCAGTAGTCTTGCGCGATTCGGGCCTCATATCCCAATGGTGTTCGGCGATGGCGAAAAGCATAAGCGCTTGCACTGTCCAAGGATCTTTTGGTAGCATTGGGGAATTGAGTGCCTGGAATGCTGTTTCGTAGTACAGTTCTGGTGGCGTCCAAGGAGCGTAGATGGAGCCGATCCATTGTACGACAAGTAGGACATTAACCATGCCATGGTTCGGCATCAATCTTCTTGTGTTGAGATAGAGTTGTGGGGGCGTAAACGGAAAAGCAGGCCAGAAATACTCGTAGTAAATCTCCAAGAGTCTGTCCGTACTTCCATGGAATGCCATGTTATTCGACCCATCAAGACCAGCTTCCATACGATGTACAGGGTTCAGATCCACGTCCGCTGTGAAATGATCAAAGAGGTCATCTTGCTCGTCATTGCTCGAGATTTCCGGAGAAAGGCGTTGGCCGACGACATTTTGGCTCTGTTGTGCTTGTTCCTGTGCTTGTTGCTGGAGTTTCAATTTCCGTCGAGCCAAAGCCGCTTTATCGAGACCGCCTCTTCGGGACTTTTGGTAGGTGCAATCTTTTCCATCTCTTTCGCATCGATTGCAGACGGGCTGTGTAGCATCACATTTCACATGGCGACTGCGACATTGGATGCATGCTAGGACGACGCGGTTAATGGGTTTTAGATGTGCAGGATCCATGTTGGCGGGAGAAAGCTCGGATCCTTTGAACACGCAATGTAACAGGCAACAGGCGCCCGACTTGAAGCTACAGTACACACGGGCATGTATAGGACAAGATGAAATGGCGGTTTGCAAGAAAGATGTTTGAGCTGAAGAGTGACATTTGCTGATTCAGCCCGGCGCTAACCGAATCCATCAGCGTCGGCAGAAAAAGCATCTTCCGCCCGATCTAAAACCACCTTCCAACCACCCCAATCACAGTCAGTCTAACCCGCATTACGTGTGACGTACAGGCACGTATGACTCTTCGTTGGGCTGGAGGTCCCCCGCACTAATGTCCACCCACACTTGAAAGCCGCTTCAACCCTCAACCCTTCCGGAGTGATGTTGTAGTACATGTACTGGCTAATCTTCAAAAATCTAATATTGTTCTGGGAACAGCACGGTCTGTAATCCTCCCAGCTTACGTCAGTTTGGCCGAGTGGTCTAAGGCGGTAGATTTAAGAATCTAACAAATCTCTACTGGGGCAACCCGCGTGAGTTCGAACCTCACAGCTGACAACATCTTTTTTTTTGCCGAGTGCTCGTACATCTATACAAAGCTACAATCGATTCATGAGTGATTACGGATAAGCGAGTTGTACGAGATCGGCTGTGTCAACACGCTGCAAGCAACTACACAACACAATAATGGAGACGCGGACTGAATACATTTCATTTTTGCCCATTTTAGACAGCTGCCCTTTCACCAGCCTCCTACGTTTCTTTTCCCTTGGGCACAATCTTGAGCGAAAAATCGACATGTTTGACGCCCTGGTGAATGCTACTCGTGCTCACGATATCGATATCCGCACAAACATACGGTTCAACGTTGTCTTCTGTCAACCCTCCACTCACTTCAACCAAAAATGCCTTGCGATCTCCAGTTCCCCGTCCCCACTTATCTTTCAACTGCGCAGCCGCAACCTTGACATTGTCTGGCGTGAAGTTGTCTAGCATAACGATATCTGCTCCCGCAGCGATAGCTTCGTCAGCCTCTTCGAAACTCTGGCACTCGACTTCGACTTTGATAGCGAAACCACCAGCCGACTTGGCTGCTCGGACAGCGTTGGTGATACTTCCTGCAGCCACGATATGATTGTCTTTGAGCATGGTCATGGCCGACAGATCGACGCGATGGGCATCAACTCCTCCAACAAGCATGCCGTACTTCTCTACGAGGCGGAATCCGGGAGTAGTCTTGCGGGTACCGGCAAGGATGTTCGGGTAGCCAGCTTTTCGGAGGAGTTGGAGAAGACGACGTGATTTGGTGGCGATGCCCGAGCACCGTGCCAGCGTGTTGAGAGCTACGCGCTCACCGAGGAGAAGCTTCCGGACCGGTCCGCGGACCGTGGCGCAGTGTGTGATGGGTTGAAAGGCGTCGCCTTCCTCGACATGCCATTCGACCCTCGACGATGTCAACATAGAGCTAGAAGTGTTTGAAGATAGCCACTCACGTGCAGTCCAATTGCCGGAATACTTCATCGAAGAATGGGACCCCCGCCACGATGCCCTGAGGGAAAGTTTAGTCATGGGCTTCCTTCCGAACTACATTGATCTCACCTCGCTTTTCCCGAGCAACTTGGCCTCTGAGATCTCCTCTCCTACTACGAAGCCGCCATAGTCGAAGCTCGGGGTGTCTTCCTCGAGCCATTCCGAGACCAGACGCTTGTAGGTCTGAGGGAGCAGATGAGCTACTGCTCCATGTGCGGGAGCGCCTTCGGTTTTGGGCATATTTCTATATTTTATAGGAACAGATGTACGAGAAGATTTAGCAGGAGAAGAAGAATGCACAGTGCAGCTGTCCAGGTGATGGACAGACTGCTCAATCCGGTCGGCGGCGCCAAATACGGTTACGGTTAAAGCCGGCACTAAGCGGCCGCGGACGGAATGGCCAGCAAGCTCTACATAGGTGGTAAGACTAGCTTCTTATACGCAAGACTAAACGGGTTAAAAAACAAATCGATTAGAGTTGTCTGCACTGTACAATAGTAAAAAACAAATCGATTAGATTTGTCTGCACTGTACAATAGTCTAAGAGTGATCTGTACAGAAGGAAAGGCTTAAAAACAAACGCCCTTGGGTTATAACAAAAGAATGCATACCACACACACACACACACACACTGTTCGGCTCCATAATAGATACCTAAAGCTCTCCCCTCCCCCTCACACTCTCTACTCAGTCAAAAAAACACTTATGAACTCAACACCAAAACATATCTCGCTCACTCCATGCAATGCTATGCAATGCTATGCAAAAAACACATGCAACACACATCCAGCACCCCATACATTAAAACACTCCCACGCTCAAAAATGGCTTACAACAAAATCATGGCCAGACCGGAAGACATGGCACCGATGACGTAGAGACCGACACCGAAGAAGCCGACAGAGACGTGCGAGACACCGAGGTCAGCGGCAGCAGCCTTGGAACCGCTGGAGTCAGCACCACCAGTGGCGGCGGCTTGGTTGGAGCCGGCGACGGTGCCAGTTCCCTCCTTGCCGGCCTGGGACATGAGCGTAGCGCAGCTGCCGGTAGCAGTAGCAGCGCTGGCCTTGAGCGTAGCAGAGCCCTTGAAGCTGCAGGAGTCGGCCTTCTTGCCGGTACCCTGGTAGTAGGCGTTCATGACGAAGTTGAGCTGGTCCTTGGGGCTGCACATGCCGTAGGCACCATAGGAACCGGAAGTAAGGTTGCGGTTGATACCAGCACAGTACTTGCCGCTGTTGGTACCGCAGACGGTTCCGAACAGTGTGCCATAGTCCTCCTCGTCGACGTCGTCAGTGACAGCGCAGGAGACGGAGTTGGTCATGCAGGAGCAGAGCTGGGCGTTGACGGACGGGGGCAGAGGGGTAGCGGCGGCTTGCCATGCGGTGCCGGTGGACGGGCAGGCCTGGGCGGCAGTGTTGGAAGGAGAGAACGAGGCCATGTTGACGCCGCTGGGGGTGGCCTTGGCAATCTGGGAAGAGAGGTTGTCGAAGTCGTCGTTGGGAGTGACCTTGTTGCCGCTGACCTTGACGAGACCGAACTCGTTCTCCTCCTCGAAGTACATGTACACGATACCACCAGACCAGACACCGGTCATGTCATCGCCATAGAGAGTGCCGACCTCGGTGAAGAGACGCGGGCGGGGGGTGTTGCAACCGTACTCGGCGAAGAAGACGGGCACGTCGTACTTCTCGAACTCCTTGGTGCGGGTGTCGAAGCCGGACTCCTTGAAGGAGGAGTCTCCACACCACGAGTAGATGTTGTAGCCCCAGAAGTCAATGGCGTCGGAACGGTCGCCGCAGTCGAAGAAGTTGGCCATGTCCTCACGGATATCAGCATCGTCGTTGGTGGCATAGCCGACACCGATGGTACGGAGGCCCTGCGACTTGATGTAGGCCTTGGAATCGCGCACGGCAGCCTTGACGAAGGCGCTGGCCATGGTGTTGTTCTTCTGGTTGGAGACCTCGTTACCGGCGAAGAAACCGAGGGTGTTGGTGTAGTTGGCCATGACGTCGATGACCTTGGTGTAGCGCTGGAAGAGCGGCACGTTCCACTCGGGCGTGTCGCGGTTGATGGACGTGGCCGGCTCAGACAGATCGGCCACGACGTAGATGCCGGCGTCGGCGAGCGCGTTCATGCAGTCATCGTGGTTCTGGGTAGGGTCCAGGGCATACACACGGATGGTGTTGGTGCGCAGCTTCTTGAGATACTCGATGTCACGCTTGCAGGAGGTCGCGTCGGACAAGGGGTCGATGTACTTGTTGCTGGAGTCACCCGTGGCGTTACCAGAGATGGAGCCAAGCTCCTGCTGGTAGGCCACACCCCTCATGAAGCTGGGCAGCGGTTAGCAGAGAGGACGGCAGGGCGGGGGGGGGGACGGGACTGTGGCACGTACAACTGGGTGCCATTCGTCTTGTAGAAGAACTTGTTGCCCTTGATAACAATAGGGTCAACGGCGGCGAGCGCGGACGAGGCGAGGGCCGCAGTCGCGGCGGCCACGGACAACTTCATAGTGATATAAAGGAGCAATTCCTGCCAGAGAAACTACGAGAATAGGCAACCGGGGGAACTGGCTATTGTTGGGGGGGAACTGGGTGTTGGGGGAAGGAACGTGGCTCGTGGAGAGCGTAAGACGTTTGAATTAAACCTATTATTTAGGAGGGAGTGACAGGAAAATGGAAAGAGCAGGAAACAAGTGTGAGGCGACAAGTGAAGGAGTGACTGGGGCTGGGAGTATTCAAGACTCTTGAGCGACAAACCCAGGTGTTTCGTCTTTCGTTCAGGGGGAGCGCCCGAAACGCGTTAGCACGGCCGCAGCCCGACGACGACCCGACCCACAGCTGCTCGCGCTCACTCATTTATTTCCTGTCATTATTGTGGACAAATACAGCTAAGAGAGGTACGGGCCAGCGTACGCGCGGCACACGGCGACTCCGCGGTAGGTACCATTGCGATGTGCACGTCTCTCCAATACCGGCCCCGGCAGCAGGGCGAAAGAAGAGACGGGCGCTGCTAGTAGGTATGTATGTAGATAGATGGGAACGAGGAGTCGAGACGACGATTGACAGTGTCCTGGAGACGGGAGGCTGCGACGTCAAACGGCAGCCCCTGAGGGGTGTGCAGCAGAAAGGCACATCTACCACCTACTCGGGCGGTGGACGAAGCGATGGCCGAACTGGAAGGCGAAAAGATGACGGCCAGCTACCATCCCGAGGGGCTGGGTAGGACGACGATGCGACGAGTGCAAAGAACGAGTGCAAAGAGGTCGGTCGGCCATCGGTTTTCTACATGTTCGGACATCGCATCGTGCGTGAGCGGAGCAGGCGGCGGTGAAGATGGCACGATGTCGAAGAAGGCGGCAGAAGGCCGGGAGGATTCCGTGGCTGGTGTCTGAAGCAGACTTGCCACTTCTGCGCACCTGCAACGCCGTGTGTGGAGATGGGCTGCATCATGGCATACGAAGATTCATCTAAAAGCGTGACTGCAAGCTCAGGGGCGAATGATAATGGATGCTTTGCGACGGTGCGACGACGACGGTTGACGGCGGCGCCACCGCCTCGAGACTCGGCGATAAGCCATTATTTGCGATGCTATCGATAACACAGGGGAGGCGGGACGGCGGACGGCGGCGCACGGCCAATCTCACGACGGGGCGAATGATTTCCGGGCAAAGCCATGCCTGCTTGCGCTGATTACTCCTATTATTGCCAGTTTGATCGCCGCCGGGCCTTTTCGCCGTCGACTCGCAGCCGATGGTCCAGGGCGGCGGCGGCGGTGGTGACGTGCTGGAGCGGTGGCGCGGGTTCGCAGACGGAGCAGCACGACGACGACGACGACAAGAGGCCAGCAATACTAAATAATACTAAAACAGCAACAGAGGCTGCGGCGAGCGTGTCCCGCATGAAGTACAGAGGAAATAATAATAGAAGATAGAATAATAGATGATGCCAGGTAAACAGCCATCGCCACCACCACTGACCAGCATCCCGAAGAGCGTGAAGAGAGAGAGATATATATATATATATATATAC